CTTTCTTGCTTCTTGATCACGATCCAATTTTTTCTCGATGCTGACCAGGCGTCGAACAGCTTGATTGTAGTTGTTGGGCAGGCGTTCATTTTCTTTTTTCCACAGGAGACCCGTTTCATATTGACCGCTTGGCAGTTTCTTGGTAGTTTTCTCGAGGGTTTCTAATGCTCTTCTGTCGCTGTCGTTAGATGGTGAACGATTTTGGATCCCTAGAGACTCTAGTTGGAAGTGTTCTCGGACGAGGTCTTCTATGTCTTCCTCGCCAGTGGTCGCTTTGCCATAATGAGTGAAGTGTACTGTGGCAGTTGTTCCTGTTTCACATCCGTGTAACACCCACCCTAAGTTCGTGAGGGAAGCTACAGGATCTGATGGTTTGCCCTTCTTCAGTTTTCTTGTCACTATCAGCCCCCAATTGTCTTGGCCTATCAGTAGCTTGGGCCTCTCGGTGACGTAGAGGAGTTGATTTTCAATTGCCTTCAGGTGCTTACAGTTTCTCACGGTGTCCTTGTTTATGCATTGTTCAGACAGCTTCAGGTCGTCGATGGTCCTTGCTACGATAGTTCTCTTTTCTTTCCTATGAGCCCCTTTTATTTTGTACTCGATCTTCTGTGAACTATCTTTTCTTAACACCTTTCCGCCGACGGTTTCGATCGTGAGTTTTTCTTTCTTTCCTTCGACTCCGATTTTCTCAGCGATTGATGCGTCTAAGAGTGTGACCGTTGACCCTTCGTCTAGTAGTGCCAATACGCGAACTTGTCCTTTTGGGCCATAGAGGTTCACGGGGATCATCTTTAGGTAGGCTTTTTCTTCTCCTTTGGCGTTATGAATTGAGGCGACCTTTTCTTCTGAGGTGCTATTGGTGTCTTTTGCTTCTTTTTCTATCGACGCCGGTGGTTTGTCAGAATGTAAGATGGTATGATGCCATCTTTTGCACAGCTTGCAGACTGGTGCTTTACAGTTGATTCTTGAGTGTCTGAATCGAAGGCATTTGAAGCATATCTTTGCCTTCTTGGTCATATCCCATTTTTCATTCAGGTTGGCTTCTTTGAACCTTTTACATTCTAATGCGAAGTGTTCTTCCCCACAGAACGGACACGACTTCTTATATTTCTCTTTTGACGCTTCTTGAACCAAATGAACGGGTTTTCTTATTCCTCTTCTTTGTTCTGAGGACGCTTCGGGCGGGGCGAAGTCTCCGCACATGTCTGCTTCTGTTTCTAGGAACGCTTCGATAAGTAATAGCTCCTGAATTTCCTCATCTCTTCTGCTTCTGTGGTAGGCGAACCAACGGAACTTCATTGACGTCGGCATCTTGTCTACTATAACTCTCAGCGTTTCAGGTGAACTGAGATACTGTGGTTTCTTCAGGGCTTTGATTGTCTCGACTGCGTTCTTTACTTTGCTTGCAAATATGCATATGTCGCTCGGGTTTTCGCCGACTCTTGGGAGGTTCTTCATTTTCTCTAGTTCTGCTAATGCTAGTGCTCCAGGTCTTCCGAATCTTGCTTCCAGTCCCTTAATCACTTCGCGTGGGTCTTCGGCGGTGAACAGCAGGCTTTGGACGGCTTCTCTAGCTTTTCCTTGGATCGCTATTCTAAGGCGCGCTAGGTTTTGATTGCTACTGAAAGAAGCAGCCGTATCCTCGTATGATCTTTTGAAGGCTAACCATTCTTCGCGGGCCCCGTTGAAGTGAGGGAGTTCTAGGTGCTTCGGTGAAACGGTGTCACGTGATTTTTCTGATAGCTTTAGTATGACTGAAGCTAGTTCCTGGACGTCACTTTTCTTTTCTTCTGCCTCTATTGGTTTGTGGTTCTTATTAGGCATGTCTCCGGTCTGGATGAACCAGCGTTCGACTTCTCGAGTTCGTTCGAACAGCTCTTCTCCGGCACCGTCTTCCTCTTCTGATTCCGCGGTGAGAAGTTCTAATTCCGCTTGAGCAACTTTTGACCGCGCTTCTGCCAATTCTAGTTCCCTTAATGCCATTGTCATCTTTGCTTGCGCTTCTGCTCTCTTTCTATGCGACGAGCGAACGGAAAGCGTGTCTGGATCGCGGGTCGTCTTCTTAGGGTGAGGCTGCTGCAGAGTCTTCATTGCGACACTTCTTTCTTGATTCTGCGGCGTTGGATGACTTTCTTCTTGGTGAGGAACTGACGCTTCGACGGTGCGTATCGGGGGGTGGTATGGGTTACGTCCCCCGGTGTTGATTCTTTTCCGGCAATGTTCTTGTCAAGAAGTACGGGTTGTCTGTGTACGCTGCTGGGCGATGCTCTTGTAAGCGTCGATCGATCTGAAGTCGACGTGTTAGTAGCCGTCGTGTTTGTAGAATCACTCGGCGTATTCATGCTCCAATCCGTCGTACTGGTACCCGTAGTGGCGTTACTTTCACTCGTAGTCTTCGACTGCACTGATTTTGATCTTGTATTTGAAGGCATCTTCCTAGTTTTCCTTAAACCCGATCCGGCTTCTCGAAGGACCAATTGTAAATGCTCGTATAAGGGAGCGTCGATAAAATAGAGCGGGTTTGCTGGCGGGATGTTAACTGGAGAGCATACAGTAGCAGTTAGATGAGCAATAAATAACACTTCTTGAGAGTTTCTTCTTATTTTATTTCTTGATTCCTTATTATTACATTGCCGGATTTGGAATGTTTTACCACGAAAAACGCCCCTTTTTATAAGCGGCTGTAACCAATCGTAATTAAGAAAAAATCGCACACGGCATTAGTGAATCTATTGACCAATCAGAGCACAGAATAACCCTTTCTAAGAGAGATTTACAATTTCCTTAATAAACGTGGTAAAACATATCTTACAATATTTATATTTATTCCTAGCGATAGATACAACTTATTTCTATTATTCTAAACCTAAATTATTCAATAAACCTTTATTTTACACTTATAAAAAATAAAAATAGCTTCGCGGTCGCTTCACGGTTTAGCTCCGGAGTAGGATAGTATTTTTTGCCGAACATACAAGTAGCGCCGCCAAGAGGTAGGAATGTACAACACTTTTTTCAGGATTAATGCTTAAGAATCTATACAATATTTTTTCATAAAATTTAAATTTTTCTCATAATGAAATGACATTATATAGTGATTAATTGACATATTAATGTTTCTTTTGAATTACTTTAAAGTAAAAAGAATTACATTAATCACCTATGTGTTAATAGCTCTTAAAGTTATGATAAAAGAAATCTTACTAGAAAATAAGCTTATACTTGCGTCTAATGTTCTAATCAGACCTAAATAATATTAAATAGATTCATATAAGTTACTTTAAGATAAGAATAGAAGTGTTTAATTTACTTTCCCGTTTTCAGCACTAATCAGTCTTTACACTTAGCTTTATTTTACGAATAGGAAACAATTAAGATTAAATACTATCACTTAGTTTTAAATCACTGATAAGAAATAATTAAGATTAAATGTTCGAATTCACTTTGTCGTCGCTAACAATTACCATGTTTGGAAGATTTTTTTTAATTAAATTTAAGTGAAACACACTTACAGTCCATCTGATGGTAAGTGGCCACTTGCAGTCAATAGACACCTGAAACCAACTTCAATGCAGTAAATTGTCATTGCCTGGCACCATTGCAAAATATCTGGTTCAAGCGACCACACTAGGCCGGTGGATAGACGATTACAGTAGCCGACGTCTCATACCTTTAGCACTACACACTACTTCCCATCACCAGCTTGGGTATTTCACAGTTACATCGTCATCGGTTGGGAGCCATAAAATCTTCTATAATTTCTTATAGTCGGCTCTTACAACACCAATCACACGAAACGAAGGCTTTTCTTGCCGCCACCACTCACCCCACCAATATGCTAAATTTGTTAATTCTATTTAACCACGGATGTCATCACAGATTCATACAGAAAAAAAATTAAATATATTCATGATTAATAAACAAAAGTCACATATTTGTGAAATTTATTACATTAAAATAAGAAATGGGATAACAACACTTGCGATTGTTGTCACTTGGTGAAACTCCAGCTACATTTTTGTGATTTGGATAAACACTTGTACTAGTTTCATAATATTTATTTTACTTATAAAAACCTTTAATTGAAATAACCCTATTATACCCTATAGGATAACAGGATATATTATATCCAGATGATGCCGTGATGCGAAACCGGTCGGTTTTTATATTTAAAATAAATATTGTGAAACTAGTGCAAGTGTTTATCTAAATCACAAAACTGGGATAATAGTCTACCTGATGGCAATTGGCTACTGTAACTAAAACAAAAAGCCTTCAGCTGTGCCTCTAATTATATAAGCTCTTTATAACTATGTTAGGAACAGCAATGATTGCCTTACGGTTGTCAGCAGAGATAGGTAAAAAGGACCACTAAGTTAAACTACATTTTCCTCAATTTAATTATATAAGCTCTTTATAACTATGTTAGGAACAGCAATGATTGCCTTACGGTTGTCAGCAGAGATAGGTAAAAAGGACCACTAAGTTAAACTACATTTTCCTCATTTAATTATATAAGCTCTTTATAACTATGTTAGGAACAGCAATGATTGCCTTACGGTTGTCAGCAGAGATAGGTAAAAAGGACCACTAAGTTAAACTACATTTTCCTCAATTTAATTAAATTTAATGTCTCCAGTTGTTTATATTTTTATTTATCATATAGCGAAAGCACTACACCAGGTGTTGTAAGTGTCAACTACGGATTATGTCCGAAAGTTCTCATGGCCGATTAACAGAAAATTAAACATCTTCTATATGCTAAATAGATGTATATGCTCAGGCCAACAACAGGAAGCAGCATTAAATGTCTTTAAAAGTCTCACACTGCTAAGCTCGGTGATTAAAGCAATTTTCCCAGTCATGGCAGTGGCCCTAGCGTTGGAGTGTATAAACTTTTATGAAGAGACATTAGAAAGCTTTTATCGGTTAGTTTGCTTAGTTATCATTCAATCATTACAACATATCCAAAATCTAATCTGTGATATTTGATAAAATACCTCATTTTCTTCAGAGTCATATTCCACAATTCTTTCAGGGTTTTCTTCAAGATCAGACACAGATGCTTCAGCATCTTCCTCATCATCTTCTTCGTCATCTGGAAATAAAAAATTACCAGGAATGTGATTTCGCACGTATTATTAAGTATATTTTAATATTTCGTTAATTTGAGCTTAACTTCTGAAAACCGATAAATATTAACTACTAATAATATTTTTTTAACACATCACCACCAACCTGTTAGTCTTCTGCTATACACGGGATTCTCTTCATTATAGGGAGAAGTTATGGACCTAGAAAAAAGGGCGGACGCCGTCTCTTAAAACAATTACTAACGCACCCATAGTAAGTCAGTTCGCTAATACAAACAAGCCGGCACGCACACATGCACACCATAGTAAGTCTACCGCCCACCGTTACGCTCCAATCCGCGCTCCCGTAGTTACTCACACATAGTTAAACTGCCGCCATTGCGGTGCGTCAATTCTTTCTTAGCGAGATTCTGTCCGCCCTTTTTTCTAGGTCCACGGGAGAAGCATGTTCACACATGCCTGTCTTGTTTTAGGAAGCTACTTGTAAGTAAATAAATAGAAATGCACATTGTGGAACTATTTTAAAAAGAGGACTACCTATATAAAAAAAATGGAACTTTATGCATTTTCTTTAATCTTAAAAATTAAACAAGGGAGACTTTCATTAAGTTTCATTTCATTTTTCATTAAAATTATTCATAATCTATATTGAATAATAAAGTTACTGAAACCATTCAAAATAAGGTTTGAAACTTTAAATGCTTGTACTAGAATTGGTTCAAGACATTAGCAGGATGGAAGATATGAACCCACGAATTTCGCGATCGGTATTCACATACTATACCATTGGACTACTGTCGATTTGAAGAGTTTCGTAACCAACGTGTAAAGAATCTGTAAATACTTCAGAGCTGGCTGCTTGGAAAAAGGATCAATAATTATTGTTCTCGGGTCGCATTGATAAATCGAATTGGGAGATGTGACTTCATAGCCTATTATGGTGATTTTATTTGTCACAATCTCACATACTAATAAGTTAAAAATTTTTTTTTCACTTCCTTAAAATAAAATAGTAAAATACAAATAAGATCGCGTTGGACCAGACGATAGATCAGCGAATACTTCTCTACCCTATGATATGAATATCGATATTTTTTCTCGTTTACGCTAGGTGTAAAATGTCCTCATGGACGACACTGCTGTGTCCAAGGTGTGACACGTCTGGTATTGTAATGGTCAATCCGCCTGCATACAGCTGATGTTTAAGACAATTCCTCACTGCTATGGTAGGTAGAGTATGTCCAGCAATGGATATTTTACGGGCTAATAAAAAATAGGTTTGATTATGTAAAATACTACTTACCTGAAAATTGTAGTGCTCTGTTCTCAAGTTTTCGTTTTTTGCTTTTTTTCTTACTTTGCTTTTCAGATACATCCTTTTCATTAACATCATCATCAGAATCAATTATGAATTTCTTCTTAGTAACACTGTTTGCTACATTCTGCTTATTTTCTTTATTGCCGTCGGTGTTATCGTTTACGAAATATTTATATTGTTTCGGCGACTCAGGTTCAGGATTATCCAACTCTTCCAGAATAGAGCTTAAAATGTTTTTCTCTTCAGAGACAGTATTATCGTTTTTCTCATCGGAAACTATTTTAATATTATCCATATTTTCATTAGGTGATATTGTGTCCATACTTAAATGAATGTCATCATTTTGTGAATTTACATCAACTTGTGATACAAATGGATTGTCATAAAATTTACCAGTGCAAAGTGCTAAGACGTCATCACCAATTTCTTGCGATTCAGACATATTGTCTGCTTTTTGTTGGGAACTTTGAGAAATATTTTCCAAAGACAAATCGGCGTCAGTCTAAAATAGAAAAGAAAAAAGCATATGAATGAGCGAAGAGTTCAAAAAAATTTTTTTTGTATATTATATACCCACATCTTCAACACATTTTGATTCTTTAACAACTAATTTATTGAGACAGGTCAAGCCTATATCATTTTCAGAATTTATAATTGAAAATGTTTGGCTTTTTAGGTCTTTGGCTTCAAGGTTGTTGTCTGACGCAGAAACTTGAGATACTACTACTTCTTCTGATGCAGACTTGTGTACTTGGGCCAACTGCAGTTCTTCATCTAAAAAAAATATTTCGTATATTTGTAATAAGTATAAAATTTTAGTTAACTATTACATTGATCTTAAACACACCTTGTGTTCCACTTATATTTAAACTTTTGTTGGTATTTTCATTTAAGAATTGTAACGACGTTTGCGAATTATTAATAAGTAGATCATGCGTAGTATGGTTGCTACTGTTGTCTACAATTTCATCGTCATCAGAATCTTCAAAAGCTTTTAAGATCCTACCCTTCTTAGGTTTACTTTTTTTATCTTCGTCATCTGACTCTGAAGATTCTTCTTCACTAGAGTCCTCATCGCTTGCATCAAATTCTTCGTTTTCTTCTTTCGAATTGGCTTCTTTTTTGGTATCGTTTTGAATTTCTTGAACTTCATTATAATTTTCAATATCGGACTCTTCTGCTTCATCATCAAGCATTGGATTCCGCTTTCTTGGCTTATCCTCAAATTCCCAATCTTCTTCCTCTTCTTCTTCTTCATCTTCTTCTGCGCTCCTTGAACTATCATTTTTACCGTCAATAGTGTCATCGAAATCTTCTAGTTTAGCTTCAAGTTTTTCGATTTCATCAACATCCAATTCAACATTTGTAAGTTGTTGCTGTTTTTCATGTTCTAGTCTTTTAGCCCATTCTAGAGACCGCTGTTCTGCTATTTGTTCTTCTAACTCTTGTTTTAACTTGAAATGTTGCACACCAGGTTTGTACCTGCAAAATATCGGAATATATTTATAGGAACTATAGGGATAAAAAAAGAATAATTTCTAATAAAACATTTACTTACTTTTTTTCTCTATCTTTTTCCTGATCTTCTAATGATTTCAATTTTGCAAAATATTTGAATCTCTCCTTTAATAATTCAACACCAGACAATTTTTTATCATTGCCCAAACTAATTGTAGTTTCTCTATCCAAATCTATAACCATCCCTGGTGTGCCAGTTAATTTTGGTTTTGTCTTTAATAAGTTAACTTCGTTCTTACAGGCATCTGAAAATAAAATACTAAGTACTTTAAATTTTTCTGAGCATATTGATAATTTAACAGTAATAGTTGATAAAACTAACTTAGGTTGATCACAAACTACAAAAATAAAAGTTTTCTTGAAATTTAGGACTTTTTTATATTAATACTTATAATGTGTAATAAAAATTAGTATTTTGTAAGAGTATGATCCTTGATTAAAACTACTTTTACGGATTTTATCGCGTTTATTTTTACTTTTTATTTACTTTTATTTTTGATTCCCGACGTTTCCAGCCCCGAAAGCGCCCGAAACGTCGGGAATCAAAAATAAAAGTAAATAAAAAGTAAAAATAAACGCGATAAAATCCGTAAAAGTAGTTTTAATCATGTATAGTGTTCGCGTAAATATAAAAATCATTAAGTATGATCCTTATTCTACTCCTTTCCTGGTCAAGCGAAGTTATTTATGCTGCAGGACCTAGGACTATTGTTAACTATGAACATTATCAATTCCAAAAACAAGATTTTAATCATTTCTTATATTTTAGCAACTACTACCCATCACAATTATGGATTGCATCATGTTTTTTTAACTTATTTTCTGACACCTAATATTTTGAATGCTTTGCAGAACCCATATTCACAATTGAGTGGACTATTCAGTAAAGAGTATTTTTTATAATTGTTTTTATTGCCACTTACAACTGCAAAGTTATTTACGAACTAATGTTGTAATATGTTTAATATTTTTGGATATTGTATCACTATCCAAAAGAATTTGAAGTATAATTGAAGTCCTAACAGGCATGTTTTGTAAACTGTTTGCCAATTCCTACCTACCATCACAAGTTTGACACAGAAGAAAGTTATTTCACTATTTATGATATTTGTGTCACATTATTAATAAGGTGTGTTAAGTCTCACCCTAAGGTTACGTAATTTTTTTTGGGTATTTCTCTTAATCGATTATCATTTATCACAACCCTACCAAATGGGCTGATGAAGTTTCTTACACCGTCAATTTGGGCAAAATTATTAATATGCATACCTTTCATTTCAGTGTTTTCTATGATAGTGTCTATATCATCAAAATTAAAGTCATTTTCTAGTTTATAATCTTCTTTTACTTGATTATTAATATCAGAAGCCACTTTGCTCTCAGTTTCGTTTTCATTCATATTTATAATATCAGTTTTTTCAGAATCATAATGTAATTCCATCATTTGGCTGCCTTCCTTGGTATTTTCTTTACATACAATAACGTTTGATACATCAGTTAAATTGTGTTCTAAGCCATCAGTGGTATTGACCTTTTGCTCGCCCTTGTCTTCTCCAAGAAAGTTTTCCATTTGTTCATCATTTTTTAATTTTTCATTTAAATTGTTTAAGTGTATTTTAAAATCATTATCCTTAGCAAATTTACTTAAAGCATAACTTGTGCAATCTCCAGATTCCATATTGTCAACAGAATCACAAGATTTAGAACCTATCTCATTAGGATCCCTAATCTCTGTATTAATAATTGATGTTGACATTACTTGTGTGTCTGCTGTAATAGTATTTTCTAGTAGTGTCTTATTTACTTCGTTATCTAAATTTGAAATCTCATTTATCTCACTGTCCTTAAGTTCTTGACTTTCTTTACATTCCTCTTCCTCTGAATCACTTTTACATAATTCCATTATTTCTTTCTGCCTCTGTTCCAATAATAAACTGAAAAAAAAATTTACATCATATACATATTACTGTAGTCCAAGAAACCTAATCCAATCCAAGATATCATAATTAAATCCAAGAAATCTCCACAATTTTTATTTTTATGTGAAATACCTACGCATATTGTTGTAACTGTTCAGAAGTCATTTTGACAGATAAAGTTTTGCCATCTGGGGCCAAGGCTGGCTTCCTTTGGTTCATAATATCTTTGAGTGATAATGCTTTTGGTTTATGATATGGTAGTGACACTTCCTTTTCTCTTAGCATTCGATTTGATTCACTTTTGATCTTCTGCATGTTTTCCAATGCTTGCTTAGCAGATATCTGTGTAAAATAAAACTAGCATTGAAAACAAGAATTAAATTAATTTTTTTTTACACTATTAATACCAGTTATTTCAACATACAATACTGGTTGGATACTAGAGTTTTAGAGTATGAGTATTTTGGTAACTCAGTGGCTAGGCGGCACTTACCTTAAATTTCATGGTACACTAGTAACTCAGGATAAACCAGCATCAATGAAGTGCTTGTTAGTGTAGGAAAAAAAAAGGAAACATGTACATACACTACAAATATCAGGAATTATAGGAGATAGGCATGTGCCCAGTCATGAAACATATTTTTCTGTTATTAAACATGTTTTTTTATAGACATTTTTTGTTTCAATGAAAATAACAATTAATTGGAGCATCCGTGTACTTTGTTGTTTAGTTGGGGATATTTTTATAGTGTTATGCAGAAGGCAGATACAGCAGGTAGTTTCTCATCGAAAATAAATGATATTAATAGGGTAGGTCTAAAACTTACCCTTACTGGTTTAGGTGATGTTAATTTCATAGACTTTATCATTGACTTCTTTTGTTTCTGGGTATGAATCTCTTCATCATCTGAAGTATCAGGATCACAAATAGATGTCATTGTCAACTTTTGTCTATGCTTGAACTTCTGAAATTGATGAAAAAAAGGTATATATGATCAATTAGTAGAAAAATATTTACTGTTATTATTATGTACTCGTAACTGCGCTTTCTTTTTTTATTTAAAAATTGCTGCTGTACACAGGCCTCTCCCATAATGCTACATATATTTTTAATTATTATTATTATTGAGTTGTTATCAAGTAGATGCTTCTACATTTGGCTGTTGTCTCTTAAAACATTTACAGGAAGAAATGGGGTTATGGCTTTTCTTATGTAACCTTTACACAGCTGGTTTTGGTTTACTTACTAATATGTAGTGATTAGATGCAACTGCGACTGAATTTGTGTGAAATTAGTACTTTTGCTTTTTAACTGATGATGATGTTTTTTTGATAACACTATTTTGGATTAAAACATTTAGTAAGGTCAGTCAATCAAGCTAATAAACAAACTAGCCAAGAAACGAATTGGGCAAACTTGTGCTTTATATTGGAATAACCATCAAAATGACTGCAGATTATCTGCTGTAAAACATAGTCTACCGACACAACGACGATGACACCAACAGTTGTGTGAAGTCCACTACTCCTATATACTTACTTCAAATGTGTCACTGAAAATTGTGCCACTGCAGACTGTTTATAAACACGACTAAATGTGTGGGGTTGTGACATATCTGTGTATTACGCTACGGCACTAGGGTACATGCACTATTATTATGTCCTGCGCCATTAAAGTATAATGTACTTCCTTGGTGGTTATGTATGCTGCCGTCCGTAAGCAATAATGCCGTTATCTCGCATCAGGCCGATTTTCGTTTTTTGATGTCATAATAATCAGAAGAAAAATCTCTATCTTTCTATCTAAGGAGTATTTTTCTACTATTTATGGATCCGGAGATAGAAAAAAGAAAAACATCGTTAAGTTGCCTTGTTTGATATGTTTACTACACTAAAACGCAGGTAAGCCACATTACTAAACTAAAAAGTGACTAAGGGCTGATAATTTACATTTTAAATAGAGTGTTTACGATCAGTTGCATGACTGAATTGCCGTTAACAAAATTTCCTACTCTATGATGAGGTTAAAGTATTTTAACGGTTTTATAGTTCTACTTTGTTTCAAATTACAGTGTTCAAATCAAACGCTAAAAAGCCGTTAAATGAAAGTACTAGACAAAAATGTCGTTAATGTCACTTAACGGTATTTATGCGTAGTACTTATATGTGTTTTTATTAAGAGATTTTGTAGTAAATACGCCATTAACGGCATTGTAAATATGAAATTTAAATATTTTGCTTATGACATCAATCACATAAATGCAGGTATCCCTCATACTACACTAAAACGCGGTTATGTTCAGTCAATCGCTCTCGGTCCGCAGCCGCCCCAGTCTTTCTCTCGATTGATAGAGCAGTGCATCACTAAAGCTTAATGCCACATTTACACTCAGCCTTGTTGGGCAGGGAAGTGAGTAGGGAAGTGGGCAGCACGTGTATGTTAATAATTTACTCCCGCTGTCACTGCCCATGCCACTGCTACTGTCTGGTGCGCCCTCGATTGTCGGCTTTTCGCACAGAAGTCAAAGCAGGCAAAGAAGTCAAAGGGGGCAGCATAAGCGCGGGCGAGTTTTAACATTCTCGCTCACTTGCCGCCGAAGTTCAATCGAGAAAGAATGTGCTGTTTTGTTACCTGACTACAGCAATCCGTTTATTAATCTTTCCTAGGTTTTAACTTATTATGCCAACGCCTACTCTTCCGCCACCACATCTATCCAAATCCAAAAACATTTTAGACATAATTAGGAAGAAACATAGTACAGAGACCAAAATTGAGAAAGTTGACGTTGAAACCTACAGTAGAAGGAATAAAAGTCCTTATCCTGAGCTACAGCATTTTGAAACATTATACTATAATATTTTTGAAAGGTTTTATGATACGCAAATTACTTATAATTCATATGTGCATTCATCGATCCTGAATAATTTGAATGAAGATTTTAAATCTTCTCCTGCTCAGAACCATGATGCCTTACCAAATTCAGATCATGTGCAAATCGATTTAACCAGCAACGAAGTGATGCCGTTAGAAGAACCTGAGCAAAATGATATTAGTTCATCAACGTACGCGTTGCAACGTGGGTTTGATTCCAACGACTCTGTGCGCGATAAAGATTATCTCCCATCTGATTCAAGTAGTGATTCAAGTGACGATTTTGAATCAGTTAAACCGAGAAACCAAAAGTCCCAAGTGTTACAAACAAACGGAAGATTTAAGAAAAAGGATTCACAATCCATATTTACATCAGTTGTGGTCGAAGAGGTTAACTTAAAACGTTCTGGCCACTCTTCCTTTTATTCAAGAAAGAAAAACGTTGCAGTGTAAACGCAGAAGCTCAATTAATTTTCTTTGTGTTGATAAAGATATTGCAGCGTCACTACTTCCTCGCAGTTGTAGGAACACCATTGATGTTGGTGCGTATCAAACATTGTATCAAGCCAATGAATCTTTTGCAGTCACTTTGGAACCTGAAACATCACAATCGAAACAAAAACGTAAAAAATATCACTCAAATCTAATCACTTATCTCAAAGTAAAAAAAGATTACGACATAATGTTAAAACGGGATGCAACGAAACCTGTCTAAAAAAATGTCTTTCTAAATTTAATCAAGACCAGCGAGAAGCAATTAATAAAATATATTGGGACTTTCCGTGGCGAGAAAAGTATTTATTCGTGAATGCACACACTTGAGAAGCAATTCCAAAGGGAAAAACACCCAGTGATCCGAAGAGGAAACCAAGAAGGGAATTTACATTTACACAACTAGACGACACCAGAGTTGAGGTATGTAAAATCTTTTTTTTACTACCTTTAGTAATGTTAAAACTAACAACAGGTTTTTTTATAACTCTTTTATATATCCCCAATTTACGGATAAAAAAAGGAAAGTTCCAGAAAACATTTGCTTATACCCGTGATTTTTTGACTCACTACGTTGAATCGTTCCCATCCGAGCCCATCAGAATCCTACTACGGGCTTGAACATGCTCCACTGCAACGATATTTGTCAAGTGATATTAATATAAATAACATGCATAGACATTTCTGTAAAAAATACGCAGATAAGATCGTTTCGAATGAACTATACAGGCAACACGTAAATAACATATTTACTTTACTCTTTTGTGTAATGAAGAGTGCGAAATGTGTGATTAGCATAAAAAAGAAACATCACATGATGTCGTTAACCAGATTGTCAAAGACTGTACTGTATGTGTGGAGTGGGCCCAGCATCAACAAGTCGAGTTGGCCGTGAAGAAAAAAGTAAACTTTATGATTTTTGGAACTTTGAAGAAGCAGCCGCTTCAATTAATAAAGCAATCTTTGTCACCTGCACATTTCCTCAATATACCAAATTTTATATATGACAGAGAGAGAGAGTTCAAAACTCGTATAATTATGACATAATGTACAAGATGCTCTTGATGACGAATATAAAACATAAAGATTCGTGAATAACAAGTATTTACAAATCCCAATATTTTTATAGTTGAATTCCGCTAAAAGCCAAAAGGAATAGATTCTACAAGAAAAATGACATTATTGAAAAACTATCCAGCATAATTCCCATCCATAAACAGATATTCTGGAAAATATTGCCCAGTAAAGGACCATTAGTGGTATGTTCATGGTCTTTTAATATTTATTTATTTTTTGATATTTTAGTAATAAGAGAAACCTTGATGGTCGTAGGATAATTACCTCACTTAGCACTACGTTAGTTGCTAAATAAATAATTAGATTATTACAGATTTGATGCATTAAGTCATCACAAAGTATTTTATTAAAAAAATATTTTTAATTAATAATATTTTTTTAATTTTTTAAAAATATTTTAATTAATAGAGAGCAGGCAGGTTCTATTTTCCCAAGTATTTTATTGCGTACCAAAACGTAAATGCAATTGTTAATGAATGTCTTATTTATTTCAAAGATACCATTATATATAAGGTGAAGATTTTTTCATGTATTTTTTAGTTATTTGCTAAGATCTCATTTTCAATTATTGTAAGTAAGTCTTCACAAGGTGAATTTGTTAAAATAAAACAAGACTGTGTCATTAAATGATTGATTTATATTCTCAAATAAGCTCTTTTATTTTTGTAGGTAACCACCATTTTCTTTGATTTCCTCAACTATCATGATCTAGTTTCAAAACTAGAACGCCGTTAAATTTTGATGTTTTGTATTTAGCGGCATTGAAGCTATGTAATCAACCTAAAAAATAAATGCAGGAAAAATTCCTTACAAGTCACTAGCCTTAAGTGCGGCTAAGTGGCTTTAGCTGCATTATGGTTTAGCATAGTGTATATTCTCAGATTCATAATGCTAAACTATAACAACGTTAAAGTATTTAGTGGCATTACAGTTTAGTAATGGAGAGATTTTTATTTCAGAATTTTTGATGTCAATGAAATTAAATGAAAATCAAATACTAAAGTGCCGTTAAGGTAGGCTTAGCGGCATTATAGTCATGATTGTATATGTTGTAAATTATAAAAACACTAAACTAAAACGCAAAATTCCATTTTTGTTAAGATTAAATCATTATTAAAAAAGTAAAAGTATGTCTTTTTGAAAGCGCAAAACTAGATCTACTTTTTGATATCGATAACTCCCGCATATATGTTATAGTTGTGAAACGGCATCCATTTTTCATATTTTCGCGCTTTTTTGTCCTTAATCTCGAAATATGATTTTGTTGGATAACGGCATTATAGCTTGCGGACGGCAGTATGTAACACAGGACACTATTACTTATTCTTTACCCAAAAGGCTATGACCAAAATTCTGCCTGGAGGACATGATTAAAGAGTATATTAGAAAAAACAACAACAAAAGTCAAAAATTTTTAAATATTTAGTGCTCAAAATGTATAAACTACATTTAAAATTTTGGGAATATTACATAGCCTATGATGGCAAATACCATATTATTGTCATTTAATGACATGCTAACAATATCTAATTGCAAATTGCCATAATACTAACCTATATACAAAATTTAAGTAGCACCCAAAACTAAAATATAACAAGTAAAATAATTTCAATGAAATGTGCTAAAATCTGTAATATTAGTTTTATTCGTGACATGACATTAAAAAAAGTGATGAGTTTAATTAAAATAAGAGTTTGTGTTCAGCTCACTACATTGATTCCATGATCCTCGAGATGATACAGGCAGGCAGGATAGCAAAGGGACAAGGGGTGGCTGACTGCAGTTCTCTTTGGTTAATAGGACTAACCATTTTGGCAACTATACATGCATGCTCAATTACAATATTTGTAATTTGTACATGTTCCTTTTCTTGTTTGCTCTCAATATACAAGGTAAATTAAGTCCATTATTACATTCTAAAACATAAGGAACTAATCAGCATGAGACAAGATGTTAATTTTTAGCCTAAAATTCTGGCAGATATATCCATTGAATTACGTTTTAAATTTAATAGAATGTTAAAAGTATTAAGGATTGAAGGTTTTTTTTAATCAAATAATTAATGTTTTGATTACTATAAATAATAAAATATACACAAGAAAAATATTTGTTTCATCGTCACCATCATTAGAGCCCACTGCTGCTGCTACACCGAGCACAAGTTCACTGCTGAACATAGGCCTACCCCTAGAAATACAACACAGCACTGTTCTGAGCCACCTGCATTGATGCATATAGTTGTGACTTCTTGCATATCTTACCAGGTCATCACTCTATCATCTAGTGGGGGGCCGCTACCCGACACTAAGCTTACAGGCACGAGGTTGCTACTTGTGCACCTTTCTTCCACATTGGTTCCCATTTTTTTAAGTATATGGCTGGCAATTAGTACTTTAATTTATTTACCAATTGGGCTATGTTGGTTACTCTGGTTTTACTGTGGATATCCTCATTTCTGGGTTTATCACATAGAGAAACCACAAGTATAGACTTCTTCATAGCTCACTGTCACTAATGAACCATGTCTCAGATCTATACTCTATATACAGGCACCATGCACTGGTGGTATAATCTTGTTTTTAAGTTTTGAGGTATACCTGAGGAGAAGATATATCATAATCTCTAGAACGCTGCCCAGCTGGGTTGAATCTGTCGATTGACCTCTTGATCGAAGTTGGACTGAGCTAATTAGACAAAATGTACTAGGTAAACATACTCGATGACAACTTCGAGCTTAGTGCTCCCAAGAACCAGCGGCATAATTATTTAAGACTATCCTTGGAGACCCTATTAAGATCATTGAACATAATGCTTAAGTCCTCCACGATTCTGCCATAAAGAATATATCGTCGGCAAATCAAAGGTGAGTGATGCACTCACCATTGGTGTTAATACTGTATCTTTTGTAGTTCAGTAGCTTGAAAACGTCTTCCAATACAGAAGTGTTCTTGGGGACATAACGTCACCATGTGTTACACCTCTCTGCAGTTGGATAAGTATCATACTCTAGTTCTGTATTGTATCTATATCTCGGATAGCTAACATAGCCCTACTGTAATAAAACTTCAGCAATTCAATATACTGATAGTAAACTTGACACCCCTGAAGGGTATGTAGCATCGCTAAAATTTTGGCAGAATCAAAGGCTTTCTCATAGTCCACATACGCAAGGCAAACTTTAAACTTCTGTACAATTTGCCAAAGGATATGTATGTGGTCTATGGTACTAAAGCCTTTTTGTGAAACCGTTCAGTTTGAAAGAGACTGGAAGATTCAGGAAGAGACTGGAAGATTAAGGTGCTGGAGAGCCATTCTTATCTCACTCAGACTGACATCCAGGATATCAACAGAATAGTCTTGAATAAGAATTACTCTTGCATCATTACTCATATGCCATCGCTCTAACAATAACTTGAACAGCTGCCTATAGAACCTCTTGATCTCACTATAATTGTTAGGTGGCCTGGAAACAATGCTACCACATATGGTCTTCAACTTTGACAGTTAGCTCTTTCTGGCAGACAGATCTCTAGCAGACTGTGGAGCCTTGGTTCTACTTGATTGCTTATTTTATGTACTGTATTGCAGTTGCGTAATTCTGCATGCATTTGGGGATCTGTCTGTTCAGTTGTCTATATGCTGTCATGTCTGCTGAAACTGCTACTTCATTTCCCTTCTAACAGCCGTAACATTCAGAGTGTGATCAGAGAGTTTTAGCGTTCTTACATAGCGGGTCTTGCAGAACTTAGTTCTGACTGCATGGAGTTTCTACAAGCTTGCCATTCATATTTGTGTATAACATTTATATTTGACAGTGATCATAGTGATGAGAATAGTTTAGAACAATTGAAACAAATATGGGTAAACCTATAGACATCCGATACTTGTGTACAGGGGTTGGAGAGGGGTGAGGTGGGGGGTGGGTGCAGGAGACCGACACTACCCTAGTGGAAATGTATAGTTTATTAGTAATGGTTTTTTTGTAACATCATAACCTCACTTTTTACATAGGAATATTGACCCAAAATTACTTCTATAACAGATTCAGCACTGAGGGAAAAGCAGCCACTTTGCCCTTGCATAGCAAATCGCAGGCAACCTGGCAGGGGCTGCTCGCATTATAAAAACACTCGAGGGGTAGGGCAGACGCTATGTGGAGTTGGGGCGTGCTGATTAATTTTTAGAACAGTGAATTGTGATAATTTTGTTTTCTGAAAAAACTTTTGATGGCTCTCCACTGCAACTCAATTTGTTGTATATGAGTCCCTTCTTCAGACACAAATGGATTGCCTGGAGTTATTAACTTTTTTATTGGTGTATCTGTGTTAAAAAAAACAAAGTGACATATTTGCATTTTGTTATATCCAAAAGCCAAAAACAGTGTAAAAGGTTCAAGCTTAACCCTGACAAACCTAAACTAAAAACATTATTAAAATCAAATACCGGATGTCTGTTGCCAACCTCAAATATGGTTTGGTATACCTTAATCTAACACACATTTACACCATGAGCAATCCCTAACTCTATAAAATTCCAATTATTTCTGTCTTTAAATCCCAACCTGCAACACACTATTGATTGAATGATGAGTATCTACTGATCCATCTAAAAATGCTAAACAAATACCAATGCAAGGAATGTTGTTGACAAATCCAAACCAGGCTTACATGTTATTTAAAGCATTCTTAGAAAGGCATATACAGAAAGAGAAAAGTTAAAAAAATACAGCTTGATAAAATTATATTATAAGGAAATAAATATGTAAGATTTAAGTCAGTAGAAACAAGTTACCTCTTTTATTTTTATACATGACTCTAATTCTTCTTCAGATTTTCCTGAACTGTGACTAAAGTCCGAATTCAATTCTTCATCAGTATGCACTTCCGTAACATGAGGTTTTTCATGTGGTGAAACTAATTTGTGGAATTTTTCTTTCAGTTTTTTCCTCTTATTTTTAATTCTACTTAAATCATACTTTTTCTCAGTAAAATCGGTTTTATCTTTCATATCTTTTAACTCACTATCACTATCACTTACTGACATAAGCCGGATTCTCGACCTGAACAGTTTACTTTTAGCATTCTTTAAACTTGTTTTACCCTTACAAACATTGACTGGTGAACTGTTATCATTTTCTTTTATTGTCTCTTTGTCAGTTTCATCTTCCTGGTCACTATTACTCTCTGAAAATCGTAGCAAGCGTTTCTTGCTCCTCGTTCCCGCAACATCTTCATTTTCTGAATAATCGTTAATTTGGTCTGAATACATTTCATCACACAAATCATCTGATCTGTCATTGGGTGACAATGTATTCACAAGTTTTTCTATCGTAGATTTACTAATATTAATTGAATTGATGTGCACTTCCATGTTTCCAAATATAGCTGTTACTGTTATACTTGAGCAGCTTGTCTGAACGTAAATTGAATGTACTTTATTGTTTAATTGACATTATTAATTTCATAATATAGATATTATATATTAATATTATCTGTAGGCAGTAGAAAATAAGCAGTATGCTTACAATTCATAAACGTACCAGGAACTGAATCAAAAACCAGGAGTATACTATTCTCTAACTTGATTGATCACAAGCTATTTTTATTTTGAAGTACTAGCTTACCAATACATTTCATTTTCTTTAAACTTTTAATCTGCGTTTCGTTTGGATTATAGCTAAGGTTTTAAACAACGACTATTTCATCAAAAGGTTTTAACATTTATAGTTAGTTACGATATATTGATTCAATATACACTTAATTAACAAGGACAAGGACCAGTAATCACTAATCAGAACACGAACACGATAATAGGAGGAGAAGATCAGACAATCAGAACTTAGAAATTAGAAACTTAGAATCAGAATTCGCGCTCTGTCAACTTCAACTGTCATTTTTTTATTTAACTGGCTTTATGGCTCTGGAATCTAGCCCTTCCGGGCCTATCATTTCTTTCAGAATCTTCATTTTTATATATTTTTTCTTCACAATATGCTGATGCGTCACATTGCGAACTTTTTGGGGAATTTCGATGACAGCTCAACCCAACGGACAGTTGATGACGACAGCCACCCAAGTTCATAAGGCGCCCAAGTGATCAAAATAACTTGAGGTTTATATCAACATCAAAGCACTTGTATCGTCGTTTTCTCTAATATTTCACACGCGCAGACACTTAATTCACAAAATCACATCACTTTTACGAATCGTTACTACGTTCAAAAACTCTCCACAACAGCGCTCGAGTAGCTACAGGGCATGATAAATCACAGTAAAATATGTTGAGAGTGCTTTTTAAAATAAAAATTTTGAAAGCAATAAAATAATTATTGTAAAAAGAATTATGGAGAAAGTCTGTGCAATAAAACAATTATAAAAAGTTCTTTAAAATTTAGACTGTAGCTACAGTGAAGCCGCCCTTATTTAGCGCTTTCCTAAGGACACATTTTCATACAGTTTGTAATCCTTACCTGATACCTATAGTTGCCAAATAATATTCTTACTTTACTATCATTACTTGTAGTATTGGCTAAAAGGCTTTCACTCAAAAAAATAAAAATGTGGTGTTTGTAATATTATAGTTAATATGTTAACAATTTTCTTTACAATATATTGAATCAATATATCGTGAAGAATATTGTTAATATAAATTTTCTTTCTTCTCTCTCATTTTATTTATAACAAATGTACATTTTCCGTGCTTAGAATTTGTCCCTATAAAAATGAAAAACAATGGATTTTTGACATTCCAATAAATATTTATTTAGAGATTTTAAACTTAAGAGCTAATTACAACCATAGACGCGGAATATATTTAGCAATATGGCAAAAATGCAAGATAGAAAAAGGTAGTACATGATCCGTAACCGATTCTGAATGACAGTGACAGGTCTGTACAAGTCAGCATGCAAGAATAAAGGAGGGTTTTGGCGGGAACTTGGCCGACGACGGACTGTCGCTCCTGTTTTGTCGCTTGAATAATGGTTTGAAGTGGATTTTAATTCGTAAAAGTGACGTGATTTTGTGAATTAATTGTCTGCGCGTGTGAACTATTAGATAAAACGACGAAACAAGTGCTTTGATGTCGATATAAACCTCAAGTTATTTTGATCGCTTAGGTGCCTTATGAACTTGAGTGGCTGTCGTCATCAACTGTCCGCTGGGTTGAGCTGTCGTCAAAATCTCCCAAGGGCTTCGCAATGTGACGCATCAGCATATTGTGAAGAAAAGAAAAAAAACACGGGAACCTTGAAACTGGACTGATAAATCTATATGGATTGAAACTTATAAAGATTATAATATAAAGAAGACTCGGCTTTAAGCCTTTGTGGTTTTTGAAAATATGAAGTATTGAAGAAAATAAGACTTGGCTTCGGCCTTTATGGACTTTGAAGAGATGGAAAGAAAAAAAATAAGAATTGGTTCCGGCCTTTACACTTCAAAATTCTACATATTCAATTTAAAAAAAGACAAGGCTGTATGGCTTAGTTCCTTCGCATGCTCTCTCGAGCGAATAATAAAAACAATAACAAAATATGGAATGAAACTTATTTTTGGTAGTTGGCGTAGTTAGGTATAGATATTTAGTAATACTCGTGAAGCACCGCTAGACACCCGCGCATGCAGTTGCAACAAACGGTTCAGTGTGCCAGGATAGTATAAAAGTAATTTTTTTTCTATAGAAGAGGGGACAAACGAGCATACGGTTCACCTGATGTTAAGTAACTATCGCCACCCATGAACATCCGCAACACCAGAGGAATTGCAGGTGCATTGCCGGCCCTTTAGAAAAGAGTAAGCTCCTTTCTTGAAGGTCCCCAGGTCATATCGGTCCGGAAAAATCGCCGGTGGTAAACTATTCCACAGAGAGGTCGTACGTGGAAGAAAACTCCTAGTGGAACGTACGGTGGTTGACCGCCAAGTATCCAGATGGTGTGGATGGTATCGGTAGGTTTGCCGCATAGTGCGTTCACGAAATTTGGCGGCTGGGATCAATCCGAACAATTCCTCAGAACACTCCCCGTGATAGATGCGATAAAATACGCAAAGAGATGTAACATCTCTTCGAAGCGCCAGTGCATCGAGCTGATCGGAAAGCAGTCGGTTGTCGACGATTCGAGCCGCTTTGCGCTGGATGCGGTCAAGTGGAAGGAGCTGGCACTGGGGAGCTCCAGCCCAGAGATGATTACAGTATTCCATGTGCAGCCATACCTGCGCCTTGTAGAGTTGCAGGCGGTGTGCCGGCACGAAAAGTAAAGTTACAGCCTATATACGTCCCACTGCTGGGCACAGGCCTCCCCTCATTTTTGAGAGGGTTTTAGGGCAAGGAAGTGTCCGCCGCGTTGCTCCAATGCGTGTTGGTGAACTTCACATGTGTTCGAAATATTTTTTTCTTATTTGTCAGACATGCAGGTTGCCTCACGATGTTTTCCTTCACTGCCGAGCACGTGGTAAATCAGGACTTGAAATTGCAATTAACAATTTCATAGGTGCCGGCGGACATCGAATCCGGGTTTCTCGCGTTCTGTTATATTTCCAGCGAGCGTTAAACATCTGAGCTACCACGGCTCTAGTATAAGTACCTATAAGTTCCATAGTACTATATAAGTATATATATCTAGTACTAGTATAAGTTCTATAGTATTTGATACTTACAAATATCTATGCCCAATTCATGCTTGATGCCTAATGACAGTGTGCCAATGGGTTGATAGCGTGGTTCATCGCGTACAGCGTTAGTCGTAGAGAACAGGAAATCGTGATTATGTAACAGCTGCACAGACCAATAGATCTGCGAGATTTAGCTGCACTTGCTGCGGTCAGTCAATGGTTGATTCGAATTGGAATTTGGTGTTTCGGAAATTACGAAATGAAATGGTAGTGAATAATATATAGTAGTGAATAGTGTTATAGTTAAAATCAATTGTAATTATGATCGATAGTTAATTAATGTATTAGAATTAATCGATAAAATAATTATTTTACTTTATTTTAATTGATTTCCTTTTTAATCCGTCCAATACTTTGAAATTAAAATGAGGTAAATCAAAATTATTAAAATTACTTCCAAATTTTATTGTGATTGCCACCTCTAATTCCTATTTCGCCTGCAAATTTTGGTAGGTAAATTTCGGTGCAACTTGTGCAGCGCTGACAACATCTATTAGTCAAATTCCCTGAAAATTCATGTCAAATTCCTCTCAATTTATTTTTTAACTAACATTTCTTTTTCATTTTCACCGAAAAATTTTTTCATACTTTCCATATTATTGTAACAAGTGTTTTGTTCAATGGAGTATTTTTAATTCCTTCCCTTGTTGCCATTAAAAAGGACCACATTACTATATTTACTCTGCCATAAAATTAAAAAAAAATGAAATTTATTAAATGATACACAAAAGTTGCCAAAATAAATCCGAAAATTAAATGTGGTGCAAGATGAAAATTAAAAAAGGGAGTCATTCGATATTTATAAGTAACCTAACAAAAATGTTAAGATAAGTATTTAAATTTCTGAGAACCGTGCGAGAGGCTCCAGTATCTATGGTCAGTTTACACGGAATTCCGTTGACCTCGCCCTTGATGATCAGGCTTATCCCATCATGGGCTTGTGAGATCGAAATCCTTAGGGCTCTTTTAACATAAGCCAGCACCCGCCCCGCAGTCGTGGCTTTTACTCGTTTCCCTGCAGCTGCTGTACGCGATCTTTAAGCTGCGCACGAAAGACGTGTTCCAGGCGAGCGTCACCATATTATCTCGCTTCCAATGCGTCAAGGAGATGCTCGTAAGTCACTTCCTTACCGAAAGCTTCCAGAACAGTTAAGGCCTGGTCGCGCAGGCCTAGTGTGAGAGCAGTCATGGCCTGACTTTTATTCCAGCTGTTCGCCTTCATGACAGCCTTGAACTGGATTTTGTAGGCCGACCAGGAAGAAGTCCCGTCGAACGGTGGCACTTTGAATCCACGTAGCGAAGGTGTTGTAGCTACTACGGGAGCTGTAATTCCATCCCCAAGTTTGAGGTCGTCCAGCGTTTTCTTTACGTCAGCCATCACGTTGTCAACCCGATTGTTCACTTGGTCGATTCGGATTTTAGCTTCCGACAGGCGGTTGTCCCTTATCTCGTTCCCGAAGGTAGCATGAGGGTCCTTCATGAGAAGCATCTGCTCTTTCTTATCGCGTTTAAGCTGCTCTTCCAAACGACGGGCCTATTCCTCCTTTCGGCAGGCCTATTCTTCCTGCTGCTCTTATAACCGACGAGCATGTTCCTCTTGTCCACGCTGGAGCTGTTCTTCCAACCGACGAGCTTGTTCCTCCTGTCGGTGGGCTTATTCCTCTTGTCGACGGGCCTGTTCCTCCTGTCGGTGGGTCTGTT